CGCATACCGATACCTCACCGCTGAACTCCTTTCCTACTCCTAGTCCCCATCCCCGCTCCGATCCTTTATCTTTCCAAAAAACCAATTAGACAGATTCCCTTTTTCCGCTCCTATGGAGGGAGATGCTATCCCTGAGATCGACCAATCCGACCGATCCGACCGAATAATACCGATTTCAGGTATAAAAAGGCATCGCTTTCCACAGAAAATCACCCTGATTTCCACTTGACTTTTGAGAGCACGTCTTGATACAGCGAGCAATCCGAATCCGATTCTGATGAAAGCCTGAGACTTATTGGGGTTCTCCTCAACGCGCCAAATATGCTTGGCCAGACCGAATCGTCTCCGAATCCTTTCACGGCAAGCCGAGAATTGCTGAGGACTCCCCAGCGCACCGAGTTCGTTCGATCCGGTTCCGCTGCCACCGAATTCCGCTGCTGAGTATCAGGACTCTCCCCGATATAACAGCATATCCGTCCGACCGATTCCGAGTACTGGGATACACTCTAGTCGGCCGAGTACGCTCGGCAATCCGAAAAATCTTCCTCTAGGACTGGGACACGCCTCAGCCGGCCGAGTACGCTCGGCAATCCATGAACTCGCAACTCCATCCGCGAGAACAGAGAGAACGGGCCCACCCGTTCTCTGTGACGCGAGTGGTTGCAAATCCTCATGTGGTGATATTCCATCCTCGCGATTAAACCCGCCGTCGAAGTTATAATTCCGGACGCGCGATTTAAAGGTACGCGGTGATAGTTCGCAAAAACACGTGCGTTGCCGCCGCACACTCCACGCGTCACCGAATCACGCGCAGCGAGCTCAGTATCGCGTCGACCGTCAAGGCGATATCTTATTGTAGGAAATATACGTAAACACGCGCCGAACGCTGTTCTGTCCGATCACGGCCAGTAATCAAATACGCTTAATTTGCGATCTATTATGTTCAATACCGTCTTCTGTAATTTCCACTCAACATTATTTATTTGTTTTCTAATAAACTATTGTTGAATTTTAATTACGCGTACCCTATAAATCTAACTCCGTTTCCAACGTGCTCGCTTCCCCACCTGGCCATCGCGCTGACTGCTATCCGCGTGGGAACGCGAGACCGTTTTATACATAAGTTTAAAGAGTTCTTGAAATAAAGGATAATTTATAGTAAATAAAACAATACAAGTAAAAGAATATCACATAATTGAAAAAGATATAAATGTTTGATACAAAAATAAGCTAAAAGACCAAGGCTATACATTATTAAATATTATACGATAGTTGTGTGATGTTATAATACGCATTAATAATTTCTAGTTTTGTAATACCTTTCTTTATTTACAATTACTAAAATAAAGAAAGGCATAATAAAAATTTGACACAATAGGAACAATAATTACGAAGAGATACCTAAAATTTTTTGTTTATTGAAAAATAATTTTCTTTATCTTTGTTAATTAAATATATTTCTCTATTTGTTTCAAAATATGCGTCTAATTCTTTAAGCATTAAAGCATTTTGTGCATTTTGTACATTGAAAAATTCTGCATTGCTTGCTATTCAAGATATTTCCGCGTGAACTCAGCCATGGTTTGATCGCGGAGCGACGTGAATATCTTCAGATGATTACAACCGCACGGTGAATGACAATGCTAGAATGACAGCGAATCGAGCATCTGTCACTCGAGCCGAATAATTATAGCAACAATGTTACAGATGTCTATATCATATAGTAATACTGTATCTGTAAAACATACTCGGATTTCAATTCTTAGACAATTTTATAATTAAATTTGAAATAAAAGACATACCAGAATAAAGATAAATGTAGAAACGTCAAAGCAATTAAGTTTGTAGAATGTTAACTTTTTTTGCTATATTTTATTATCTAAGTCCTTTTTTAGCTACAAAAAAATTATATTTCTTACTATAATTATCTCAGTGATTATAATTATTATTTTATTAATATCAAAATATATATTTGAATAATATATTTGAATTAAAAAATAATATATTTGATTTAAAATATAATTATAAAATATTATAAAATAATAAAATGTAATTTGATTAAAATATAATATATTTGAATTAAAAAATAATTATATGGTCATAAATAAATATACATCATGTTGAAGAAATTCCTTGATGTATTACGCCTCGTTATTTAAATAATGCTCTAATGACGTAAACGCCAAGAAATTCTATAAATGATTTGATTTTACGAATGCACAATACAAATAGATCCTAGCAGAAAGGCACGTACTGCAAACGCTCCTTTCAGATGGCTTCATCATCGTCTTTTCTAACATTGACAGCGAGCACTGAAGACGAAGCAATAATTGTCAATCCGGGATGAGTTGAAAAAACCGACTTTGTAACATCATTTAACTAAGCCGCCCAGTATAACAGTAACGACATCGCATTATGCAAACGATTCAACAAACATTTATGTGTGCGGTTAAAGCTTCTTAACGGCCGGTGGTTAGAAAAGGGATTTGCACAAGTTGCATCTTTCTTATATCTGCATCGCAGCCACGAATCGAACTTTCAGTGCTTTTAACGTGTTCGATCGCAGCAATTGTAACACAACAATAGCGACGATACAATCGAGGAAGAGAAACAGAGAGAAAAAAGTTAAGCCCTAATTCTTTATCGGTGATCGTGATGGAACGGTAAGAAGTCATACGTCGTTGTTATGAGTCGTTCGCGTGATCGACGAAAAAAAAAGAAGAAACTTTATCGGGGTGAAACATTAAGAATGCTTAAATTTATGCCGCTATTAGACGGGATTAGAAGATACGACGAAATCGCGATAAATCCTCCTTTCCTTCCTGCACTTCGCCCACGGTGATTCGATTTAACGTTAACGACCGAGGAAACCGACCACGGTCTGACAGTGCTGTGATCGATCGCGTTCAGTGGTTCGGCCGCGCCGCGGATCGGACGCGTGAGTGGTCGCGGTCGACGCAAAGGCCATTACCGACACGCAGTGGTTACGGTCGATGCGCGATCCGCCGCAAGGAATTGACGTAAGAGCCAACGTGACCTTTCTTCGCGTCGTCCCGCTCATCGACGTGCTGTTTGAGTCCTCGATCGTCATTTCCCCTCTCGATCAATCACTTCGCGTTTTTTCTCTTGTTTCCGTCCTCGTTGCGGAGGATCTTCTATATGAGATGCGCGATTAAATATCTCGTTCTAGAAAGAACGAAAAACGAAAAGAGCGAAAAACGAAACGCTATATTTCTGTGATATTTCGTATTTCTTACTATATCTTTAAGATTCTTCAACTTCCTCCAGGAATATATTAGTACTTTCGAGAAAATTATTCGTTCTTCGAATACTTGTCATTTTCTGCGATGTCCTTTTCGAATTTTCATTTCAAAAGATAAAATAACGAATTCCCCGACATCGACAAAGCACAATAATTTAATCGAATTGCACGGCGACGGAATGTTAACACCAAAAAAGAGGAGCCAGATGATGAATGGCGAAGTTACCCGGCCAATAAAATTACAGGGAGGGGAGGCACGATTGCAGCGCTCGGAGAGCAGATAAAAAACATTTTCGGATGACACTTCTATTACGGGAGTACGAGAAATCCTCCGTCCTCGTGGACATTGCTAGGGAGGACAGGAAGCAAAGGGAGGAAAGGAAAGAAGAAACCGTCATGAAGAAGCGAAAGGTAGCAGAGGTGGATCCTCGGGAGAGACGCAGCGGACTTGAGAGCAGCGAAAGCTTTAAGCGAAGCTACAATGAAAAATCTGCGTATGTAAATCTGCGTGTGTAAATCTATGTATCTCTATTAGGAAAAATACTAATTGAATATTCCACTCAACGTGGAGTAGAAAATTACAATAATCATGAACGAACGACGACGAATAGTAACAAATGATACATTTTAGAGAGCAATTTGTTCGAATGCTCGGATCATTTATAAATAAATTCGTCACTGCGCGGGAGTTGCCGGTATGCTTTCTGCGGTTTTCTTATTTCCTCTCTTTTTTCATCAAACCGCAATGCTCTCGGTCTTTCTTCCTCCCTTCCGCTGCCGGCAGTAAATCTCGCGGCATTCGTCTATCGCTCCGAGTCCGAGGTTGTGAAATTTTCGCTTTATCTCCCGGACATCAACTCGACCATGTGCTTTAGAATGTCTCATTCGAATGCGCATGGGATCTCGCGTAAATGTGAAGAAGCGGAGTATGAGGAGTTAACGCGATCTTTGCTTATGCTCGGTTTATGCATCGATTTTTGTAATTTTGATCAATCGATACTCTGATAATAGACTAATCGCGATGATGACTAATTAAGATGAATATTATTTTCAATTAGAGGAACAATATTTTCAATTCGAATACGTAAAGTTGACTTTAATAATCACGAAATTCGGCCCACTCGAATTAAATGATTTAATAATTAGAATAATCTGATAAGCTTACTGACGCTGATGGGTGTTGCATAATTCCAATCATGAAAGCTTTTAACTCTTGTACTACATGTTCTTGAATAATAACTGTATCCGCTATTTTGGAAACGAATTCTCTTTAACGGAAAAATATCAAGTATCAATGACATGCTAATCGCAAGGATAAGTAAAGTTTCTATTGATGTTATTTAAACACAGCCTAAACATGCACGTGTGATAAATATGCAAATATTGTATATAAATTACATATTTTTGCAAAAAAGTGTATTATTCGATATACAACTCATGAATATTAATTATATATATTTACAGTTTGAAAAAGAAAAACAATATCTTTTTAATAAAATTAATGATAAGTTTAATAAAGTCATATGAGTTGTTTTTTATAGCGAGCACAGCTGACTGATCACTTTTATTAAAGCATCGATTCTATTGGCAATCACAATCTATTGAGGACATTGATTTTATTGTCACATACCGCGAATTGCTACGAAATATCTTGTCGAAAAAGAAGATAACGTCACCATAGAGAATAATTTGAAATTAATTTCAAATTATTGATGAAGAAATAAAGGAAAAAACTCACCAAATGTTGCTTGATAAAATTTCCCAGCGGAGATAACTTTTGGACACTGGATCTGAAATTTCCCCGTTCGTTCTTGACTTGTTGCTCTCTTCTATAAAATAAAAATATGTTGAATTGAGTAATTTTTTTCTAGTTTTAATATCTAAGAAAAAAAATCTAAAAAAAGAAGTTTGATGAGACTAGAAACATCTTATAAGTATAAATAAGTATAAATGATAATAATTAATTTTACTTATTATTTAAATTGATAATAATTAATATATTACATTGCATAATTTTCTTTTAAATATTTTTATTTGTCCTATATCTTTTGCTTATAATGTTTACTTCGTAGAAATGATAATGCCGTAATCTCCGTTTGTTGATCGCCTTTATAATCCTTCTTCCGCTATTCTGCGTATTTGAGAATAAATACTCTTCTCATAGTAACGAAGTGTAAAAAGTGTGCTCGAAATATGTTTCGTCTATATTTCGAAAGATTTTCGATTTCTAAAAAATGATACCGGATTCTGTTAGAGCTTCACTTGCAAAAAGCCATATCGATATATCTCGCTGTCGTTCTTAAGCGAAACGAAATTACACTCGGATTTTTATCCTTCACTTCAACCTCGGAAGAAATCGATACGAATTCCTCAATATTCTTCGCCGCACAGTGATAACACATA